GAGTTTTCTTATAATTTTAGAAGGCCTGTTGTAATTGTTCCAAGGACATTCGACTTGCAACCTTGAGACTAAAGAGTTTCGAGGCTAAGGAGTATGTGCTGTCGGTTGGTTGGGAGGAGAAGGTGGGAGGCCAGGCGAGGGATCAAGGATGATTGTTGACGAGGCACCAGAGCCCTGAGCTTGGGGCAGGTGGCTCTACATGAGTTCCGGTTTGGACCCGATACCTCTGGGACTGCTGGCCATCCACGTGCAGCGGTCACAGGCAGTTGGAGAGTGAATCCTGGAGAAGGTGCTGGATGTGCTGCTCAGAGGACCCCTCACACCCTGGAAATCTTTCGCCTCGCGTTTAGCAACACGTGCTCGGTGTACATCTGCCCCCTCCCCTCCAAACGTTTTTCAGATCCCTTATATTGTTTACACCTTTTTATTATAAAACATTTCAAGCATACAGAAAGTTGAAAGAATTGTATGGGGGAACATGATATAAAAAAGAAGAGACGAATTTCTTATGCAGAAAAATTCCAAATGATGCCGGTACTCACTCCCAAGGAGGTGGAGCCTGCCCCCCATCCTGGAGTGTGGGCTGCACAGGGCAACTCCCTCTGAAGGAGAGGCCAGGTGGCAGCAGTGTACCTGGGCCAGGTGACTGCGGCCAGTGCCCACAGGGGTGAGTCGTGGTGACGATGAGCACCCTGGATGTGAGGCGATGGGGGTGGCACTTGACCTTCCCCAAGCCCACAGTCTGGTTCTAACCGTGAGAAAAGCAGCGGACACATCCCAGCGGCGTGTGAGACTCTGAGAAATGCCTGACCAGTCCTCCTCAAACTGGTATGAGAAACGAGGAAAGTTTGAGAGACTGCACCGCCAGACGAGCTAAGGAGACGTGATGACTACATGTCAGGTGGGGGCCTGGCACAGAAAAAGGACGTTAAGGAAGTGCTCAGGAAATCTGAAGAAAGTCTAGGTTTTAGTTAATAACAGCTCATCAGTATGAGTCCACTGATCGTGACAAATGTGCCAAACTAAGATGTTAATAATAGGAAAACGCAGGCATGATTTATGGAGTTTCTCTGTACTGTCTTTATAATTTTTTTTCTGTAAATTTAAAATTTTTCTAAAGAAATAAAGTTTCTTAAAGAACAACCACATACCACCACCTAAAAGTCTACGCGGCATGCTTTACTGTCTTTAACACACATCTTGGTCACACGTCTGTCTCAAACTGTCTCTGTTTTTCACCTCTTTTGACTATCCACTTCTTTTTTGCTCAAAACGACACTCAGGAAACCGGGGGAGCCTGGCACACAACACCCACGGGGACTCAGGTCCTTTCATATTTGTCACGCTAGATGTGCTCTAGGAATCCGCCCCCTGCCAGCCCCAGGCTCAGCAGCTGCTAGAAACAAAGAGCTCTATTGCCACCCAGTGGAAGATTTAATTAAAGCCTTGAGTGCAGGAAAAGCTGGAGGCCTTGCAGGCAGAGCCCCTCCGGCTGGGGGCGGCTCCGAGCCCAGGCTGCACCGGACCCCAGCACCTTCTCCACGGACCCCCCACCCCAATTCTCATCTAGACCTGGGCATTTCCTAACTCCACCCCATTCCCAACTGTGCAATCATTTTGCAGGGTTATACTACACTTTTAAAAAAATTTATTTATTTAAATTAGTTTCGAGTAGACAGTACCTTGATTAGACATCTATATAGTTTATGAAATGACCCCCCCAGTTGCTCCCTCCCTCCCCTGGCCCTCCACCTAACCATCACATTAATGCTAACTGTATTCCCTATGCCGTGCTCCCCATCCCCGTGCCAACTATCAACTACTAATTTGTACTTCTTTAACCCTTCACCTCATTCTCCCGGCCTGCTAACTCCCCTACCCTCTGTCCATCACCAAATTGTCCACTATATTCGTGAGTCTGTTTTTGATTAGTTTGTTCTTTTTGTTTCCTTTCTCTGACTCATTTCACTTAGCATAATAATCTCTAGGTTCCATCCACGTTGTTGCAAATGGTAGGATTTCATTTTTTTTTAATGGCCGAGTAATATTTCATTGTATATATGAACCGTTACTTCTTTATCCAGTCATCTGTTGATGGGCATTTAGGTTGCTTCCATATCTTGGCTATTGTAAATTGGGCTGCCATGAATACTGGGGGTGCATAGATCTTCACGAATTATTGTTTTGGTTTTACTACACTTTTCAAAAGTCTCTTTTGGAACCGGGTGTTTTCCAGCTTTGCCAGCATTTTTGATGACCATGACGAGCAATTCCCGAGCAGCAGTTGTGGTCTGACCAGCTGCTTTCGAAAGATAAGAGTCTGGAGGCTTTAGCTGCCTGGCCCTCAGGGACCAGGGGACGGCAGCCCTGGGCCTAGGGCCTCAGGCAGCAGAAGCTGTGGTCGTGAGCAGCCGAGCTGTGCTGGGCCACACAGCACCGGCTGCCAGGCTTTGATGCACACCCGGTATCTGGTGCCAGGTTCTGACACACATACTGTGGCCACAATCTCTCTTAAACATTGAGGCGAGAGGGACGGGAGGGGGCCTCCTGAAGGGTGGTGGTGCTGTTCTGCGTCCACGGCTGCGTCTTCTAAGGCGGAGGCCCCGCCGTGGCTGGCCACAGGCATGGCTGTTCATGCCTCTGCGTTAGAAGGAGCGGAACGAGCTCGTCTTCATTTGAGTTTCTTCAGGCGCAGAGCCCAGGACAAGGGTGCAGATGCTAGTCATTTATTTGGGACTTGGTCCCAGGAAACCCTAGCACAGAGTGGGGTATGAACTAGAGGAGGAAAAGAATCAGCTTAAAGCTACATCATCAAACCATTAACGTGGTAGCTTTGAAGCTCAGTCCTGCTGGGGACACCTAACCCACCTGGGGGCCAGGACGCTGGGGCTGCTTCTGGGCCATTGAACGCTGTGCTTCCGGTGCTCGGGGCCACAGTACACAGCTTTCAGTGGGCAGAAGTGGGTGCTAAGGAGACGGGGAAGGGCACTGCTAGTGTGTCAGTGTGCTCTGTGCAACAGGGGTCAGCACCCAACCCTCCCCACCCACTGCGTCCCCAGTGGAGGGAGGCCCCGGGCAGACTGCAGGGGAGGCTCAGGACCACTTGGAGACTCACCTGAGCACGGGCAAGCTGTTTGTGTTAGGAGCGAGGCCCTGCCTCTCTATACAGGTGCGACTAAGGAGGGGAGTGAGTGTGCTGGGTAGCCCATGGGGGACGGAAACGGGGCCAGCCGGGACTGGCCTTGTCTGGAAGCTTCCCTGGGGCTAGCCTGCGGCCACTCCGTCAGCATTGTCCACCCATTTGCGTCCACACCGAACGGACCCACCTACTGAATACTAGAGATACTGAAATACCCGGAACGCCAAGTATTTAGGTGATAAAAATGTATTATCAAGGAACAGGAATCATGAAGAGCTAATGCCCATCTGTGGAGAATGTTGAAAAATATACATCTTTTCCCTAAATCTGTCTTCCTGAAGTGCTACCTGGAAAAAAGTTATTTCACAAATTGCAGAGGACACAATCTCCTGCACAGAAACCTGGTGGTCACTGTATTGAAGACCTGGATGCCCAGGGATGGGCACCAGGCACTGGCCCTCAGGGGCACATGCTCCGACTTCCAGCCAGAGTGGGAATAGGCACTGGGAGGCCCCTGGTTTTCAGGTCCCTCCCGGTGACCGCACAAGGAGCCAAACATTAGCAAGGCCTTAGCGGTCACTGTGAGCAAACACATAACACAGAAGCCTCCCGTGAGCCGTGAAGTGACATGGCCTTGTGCAGCCATCACCACCAGCTTCGCTCAGCGCGAACTCTGGGAGGTAGAGGTCCCTGTGAGAAGGTTCTGAGGCTTTTGTCCCTATTAACTACGTCCTGGCTTCTAAGTGCTTGGTGGGGGGATGTGGGCTGACCGGAAGTGAAGTGTTGGCAGGCGGGAAGCTGATGGTCATTTCTTAGCTCAGAGCTGAAGTGGGACGTGTTCAGACTTCTGAGGTAGGTCTTCCATGGGCTTGGTTTGGGGGAGCCAGCCAAGCCGACTCCCAGATTGTGGTGTGGGGAGTCTTACCTTGTCCTCCACGCCTTCTGGAAGCCAGATGGTCAGAGAAAGGACACCAGGCTCTGAAAGGCGTGGTGAGGACACAGAATGCACGATCGTGAACATTGCAGCAGCCTGCAGCCTCAGCTTTCAGTCATTGTCTCGTTAGATCCTTGTAAATCAGGGAGGCAGGATAAGAACTACACGTTAACATGCTCAGCTTTGGGGTTTTTTTTTTTTTTTTTGGCAGAGGGAGGTGACCGGTAGGAAGTAGAACTTGTATTGAATCATGAACCCACACAGTGTGGCCGCATCTTCCTGTCTGACTCCTGTCTTCAGCCTCAGAGAAAGGGCAGCCATGAGTGCTGACCTCAGGGGACCCCGCCATCTTTGGGGAACTACAACATACAAGTAGGCTGACCCACCTAGAAGAAATGGCAACAATAAGACGCTGTTAGATGAAGTGTTTCTGGCAAGGGCACGTCTGTTGCCACCAGCCGAGACTGGGGACCCCATTCTCTGGCAAGGGTTAACATACAAGCCCAGGACAGGTCGTGTGCCACGTGCCACAAGGCAGCCTGGAGGTCACAGCTTCCGGGTGCCATTTAACACCAGGCTCCCATAGTTCTGCCGCCTTCTTCGCCATTTCCTTCTAGTAACGTTTAAATACTCCTGCCGAGCCCCTTCGTTTCACCTTAGAGTGTCAATGACCAAGGGTCCCAGAACCAAAGTGCAAGGACCCGCCTCCCAAGTGCTGGAAGGCGAGGGGGCTACACGGCCCACAATGCACATGAAAATCACGTTTCTGACACCAAAACCAAAACCTTGGAAAAAAGATGTAGAGAGGGGTCTGTGTGTCGTTTCTGGTTACAGTTTGTGACAGGTTGTGCTGGTGTGTCCCCTGATGGAGCTGTTCACACGGACGCAAATGCGACTATCTATGACACATAAAAATGGACAGGACAATGCTGTTTCTCCAAAATTTTATTTTAATTTAAATTACAGGGCCAGCCAGATAATCTGATACGAAATTTACTTTTCCTCAGGAGAAAGGAAATGTTTTCATGGCATTGTTAACAACTGTACACATCCACATCTCTACCTTTTTTTAAGGGTGAAAAATCACACTGAGTAACTGACTTTTGTAAAATTAAACCTTTATAACACAAGAAGAAACCACTTCCAGTATAATCATTTTGGTAATACGCATGTTAAATGATCATAACTTCAAAGGCAACTTTTCAACTTTGACTGTTTTCACATTTTCGTTTAGAAACAAAACCCCCCAAAATCTTAACCATGTCCAGAGCCCAACTCGACAGGGACGTGCCCGTGCTTTGACAGGCCGCACCTGCGCCGCCCCCCACACTCTGCGGCTGTGACGGCCTTGCCAGAGTGGAAGGTGTCTGTCGCCTCAAGGTCTAAGAACCAGCCTGGCAGGGGAACCCTTCCTCCCTTCGGCGTGGCTCACGTTCCCCAGCTCAATCCACCGGCGCTGGGCCGCGGGGACCAGCCGCTCACCAGGGCCAGGTCCGCCCTCCTGAGCATCTCGGATGCTTTCGTTTTGGGGGGCTGGGACTGCTTTCCCTGCTGCCAATGGGAAAACAGGGACGATTTTACACCAATTTTTGGTAAAGACAGCCTCTGGAAAACCAATTATAATGCAGACTGCCACTTTAATTAAACAGAATAAAATACAGCTACATTTTCTGGAGCTTTCCCCCTAACTGGTGTTCCTCAAAGGAAGGCTTACGACCTGCAGAAATGTCACTTGGGAGTCTCATTTTACTGGCTGATAAGTAATTCAATTAGTGAGAGAGGCTAGCAAAGAATAATTACATAAATCTCTGAAGTCAGCTACAGCCATGCTGAATTCGAACCGGCAGGTTCTGATCTGTAAGTTGTTAGCTGTGATCTTCGTATTGCCAGGAGGAACAGACGCCACTGCAGCAACGCCACACAGGTGTATTCTAGGAGACGTCTGCCGTGGTCACAGTAACAAAGTGGTGCGGAATCAGTCACTTTATAAATACTGATAATTTGCAGCATTAAGGAACAGGACATTAAAAAAAGTAAATTTCCCCATAGGACACCTAGGACTAGGAAGTCTTCCTAAGAGAAGCCAGTTTTAATTATTCAGTTTCACGACTATTGTACTGGATTACTCACTCTAAAAAGAAAAGGTGCTCTATAGTTTCCCACACACACGAAGAATCAGCGTTAATTTAGCATAATCAGTATCATTCATAGATCTGGCAAACTCATGACTCATTTTAAATGAATAAGGCCAATATTATGCAGGAAAGTTAGCTGGCTGAGTTCCAAGTCTGTACTGCAGCCTACTGATGGCACCCCATTAGATAACTGAATACAAAGGATTGGTTTTTTTTTTCTTTTAATGCTGTGATACTTAAATGTTAAATCAGCATTTTCATGTGATCTGAAGTATTTCAATTACATATGAGCATTCATTTTTTGCAAAAACTCAATATTAGGTAATAGTTACATACTAATACAATAACATTCCTCTGCTGTACAAATTAAATCATTTAAAAGAAATGAGCATTCTAAGAATTATATACAAAAGAAACCTGTAAGCATTGTTGAAATGAAATGCAAGGGGTCGCTGCTAGCTCTACGGTTTTAAAAGACCTTCCAAAAGGAAAATTAACAAATACCGTTCGACATATCCAGGTTTACAAGTCTCAAGAAAATCAAATGTCAAAAAATTCTAGAAAGCTGTGAAAGCCTATGTACATTTTCCTTATGACCTTATGAAGCTTCACACTCTTAAGAAGTTGCTAAGTTTCAGCATCAATTTATTCACAAGTCAACTTTATCCACCCAAAAAGCTCACATCTTGGGTACGGTTCCCCTCTGATTTCAAACACAGCTCTGCACGATCTTCCTTCAGCGAAGGCCGCCAATCTCACCGAGAATCCGCGCTCGGCTCTTGGACAAGCGCAAAAGCCGCAGGTTTCATCCGGTGGCCTCAGCGCCCTCCTGCCCCGCGCTGTCGCCTCTGCATTTGCCTTCGCGAACCCAGCCATGCTCAGAACCCCACAGCAAACAGTCTGATTCTGAAATGACACTAAGATCAAGAAAAAGTCCACGTGTGCGCTAGTGTGCAAGAAAGCAGCAGCTACGTTCTCCAACTCGGACTAAAAACACAAAATAAGGGAAAATGAAAAACCGTTCACTTAACAGCAGATTAGCAGTAATGTTCCTCCTGAATCGTAAGAGTGCCTGACGCCGACGAGCTAACAGCAGGTGCTGGGTTGGGGTTCACTATTGTACGTTTGTGGGCAGTTAGGCTTCTTGCTGAGCTGGTCTCTTCAAGTCCCTGATCTGTTTGACTAGATAGGTCTTCTCGTCGTTGAACTGCTCGTCCTCCGTCCTGTCGTTCTGGAACTTGCTGAGGAACTCTATGAGTTTGGCCTGGTTCTTGAGGAGGATGTCCAGGATGGGCTGCGTCTTGTTGGGGTTGGCGACAAACACCTGCCCGGGGAGAAATCGGCATCAGCCACAGGGAGAGAACGGGACACCGCGTGCAAGGGTGTGTGGAGCGTGCGCAGGACAGGACCCCAGGGCATCCTCCCGGGCCACGGGCGGAGGCTCGCTCAGGTTGGTGTTTGGAAGGCCTTATTTTACAACAGGAAACAAACAAAAAGACTTACGTGTTTTAGCACAAAAAAGCTAAAACGTTCATTTATGCTCTGAGTCTCAGCAGTCGCTATTAAACATAAGACTCTGATTTGGGGATAAAATGGGCAGGAATAATTTCTGGGCAAAGGAGGTCAGAACGGATTGTGAGAATAAAAACCTCCACGGAAAGCATGAAGAAATGGATTACCCTTTACTTTGTGATTAATGATCTTCTATGCCGAAGATAAATGACGGCCTTCCATAAGTAAACGCTTTTGTCCCCAAATCCAAAGGGTACACCCTGTTTCTGGCTCTGTCTGTTTTTCTGTTTAAATATGAAAATTAACTGATTGAACTGTCTCACTGAGATTACCGAAATGCGGCTAATAATATTTCAGGAGTTTCTAAATGAAATGAGACGAACGACTTTAGAGGAAAATATTGCTTACGGTTTCAGTACTCTACCTTAAAAACATGAAAGGCCTCAAACTGGATGTTACGGCTTTTGTCCCGAAGAAGGTTCATCATTAATTTGAGGTTCTCAGGTTTACTGATGTATTTTGTCATAATTGTGAAGTTGTGTCGGTCTAAGAGCAGTTCACCGAGAAGCTGAGAAGACATTTAAAGAATTACATTAAGATTTGAAGAAAAACCAAAGTTTAAAAAGCAAATCATTTAATAATCGCCAAGATGAATAAAGAGCATTTCGTGGGCACTCAAAAGACTGATGAACTGAAGTGTGGCCTGAAACCGACTTAGGAATTAGAGGCTATCGCGTGCCCACTACTTGCCAGCTGAACAGCTGCCTTTCCTTTCGGGTTTAAACATATGGTCAGTCCGACTGTGCTCTCTCAAGAGGCCATTCAAATCTGAGACAGAAAGAGCCTGCCTACTCTTTAAACGCATTTGTGTTATCTTGCTAAAAAGAAACTATTTTTTTAAATGTTCATAAGATAAACTGATAATTCATGTTAACTAACCACAAACTTTAGCTTAATTAAAAATTTTTATTTTATCTGAATTTCATAGGACAAAGGATCGTGCCCAAAGTTTTCCAAACACTTACTCCTACTCATGCCGTTATCATTCATCACACCTGATCCAGACAGGATCGTAAGAATGAAAGCTTTCTGTTCCTTCTTGAGCAAGGAGCCCTGGAAACACCCGTTTTCCCTTCGTGACCCCTCTTCACCACTGACAACTCCCACTGAGTGAACACCAAACCCGTGCCTTTGTGCGTACTGAGTCCTGTAGGGGGACCACGCTGCACCGGCCTGTGATTTTTAAACGGCCATGGCTTATTCTAGACTTTTCCTGGGGACCCGCAGTCGCTTCATGTTGTCAGTGTGCCCAGTCCTCGTGGAGGTCTCGGGTGCAGGTGCTGGAGCTCGCAGAGGGGCAGGGGCTGAGCTCCGGCCCTGTGGACAGAGGCAGAAGCGGAGTGGTGCGGGGCCGGCCCTGGCATCAGCCTGCCTGGGTTCGAATCCTGGCTCCTGCCTCCTTGTGAGCTGGGTGACCTCGAGCACCCTATTTAACTTCTCTGTGCCTCAGTTCCATCACCTGTACAATGGGAGTGGATAGCAGTACCTATGTTTCATGAGGGTGTAGTGAGAAATAAGTGTCAACTGGGCAAAGCACATTCGTTAGACCCGAGTCTAAAGGGAGACGCAGTGTGAGGCCTAAGGCAAGGAAAATGCATGAACTGAGCTACCTGCTGTGGTTTGGTTGCTTTTGTTAATTCCTTTCTGGTTCCTGGGTATGTTCTAGATACTTGAAGTCTCCAGATAACTGACCTCTAGGTAAATAACATGTCATCTCATATTAAATCAGAAGTGACCCGATGTGCAGGAAAACAAATCTATTCTGATTAGAATATATAAAGAACATACAGGAAGAATTCAAAAGCTCAGAAAGGCTGGATCGCATCGATCTGGATCACATAATCTGTAACTCTGAAATTAAGAAGCACCCAGTATTTACTTACTCTTACGATGACTCAAAAGTCAGTATTAAGTATGTGAAGGTTTAGAGCTTTATTGGTGTTCATTTTCTATCCCAGAAACCAATGAAATACTGAAAATGACTCATTTCGGTCCAGTTATTTGGAGGAGGATGACTGGTAATTCATTAGATTTCTTTGGACATAAATTTAAAAAAATATATGTATGTAGGTATATCTTAAATAAGTGCCAATGTGGCTGCAAAAAAGAGTGCAAATTAAAATTCATTTTTAAAGCACCACTCACTAGTCTTCAAAATGGCTGTGTGTCTGAGGTATCATGAGCTAAAAAAAAGTACAGGAGTGAAAGATTTGCTTCATATCCATCCCAAGGTCTTACAAATGGCAGTCTCCATTTTCCTTTCCATGTTGGTGATTCTGAAGCTGTGGAAAGACCTTGGAAGCCTTTCTCCTTATCTAAGCAGCCTAGGAATTTAGAAGTCGGTCCATTGATTTGCCAATAAAAAAAGTTCTCCCCCTGTAAAGAGGTACTAGGCCTGGAAGCCACTACCCTGGGTGATCCAGTCTGGCCTCCTTGGCCTCAGCAGACACCGGCTCCACCCAGCCACTCCCATCTGTGTGACTGCGGGGAGGGCAGGATGCCCTGGCCCTTGGACACAGAGGCTCCTGGCACGGGGCCACTTCCCTCTGAAGATCACAGGGGAATCAGCACTGTATTATACTGATGCACAGGGAGGGAACATTTTGTGCCCGCCCGCAAAAATGAAAGGACCGTTCCTATCAGCTGCGAATCCCCGGCGAGTACCCGGCCAGCACACCTGGAGACAGGTGAAGGCTCCCGACACTGGACTCAAGGGTGGCTGGGAGGCTAGGCTCTAGCAACAGCAACGAGTGGACTGTTTTAGCAGTGACACATTTCCAAGCTGTGGTTATTACTGGGCCTTGAGGGGAGAGAAGGAAGTAGCTGGCCGGATGGAAAGCATTCTGGAGATTTGGAAGGCAGAGTATTCTTATTAAAGGGCACAAAGTGTAAGGGACGCTCCTGATGTCCGTTAGTCAATTTCCACAGGCGGTTAAGGTCTTGGGAGTGATCTCCTCAGGGCAGGAGGGGGAGCAGGAAGGACGTCCTGATCAAAACGAATTCAGACCCCTCTGAGGAAAAGAACTCTGGGCAGAGTGGAATTTAATGTGAACCTGGCAAAAAATATCAATGGAATTATAATTTTCCCCCAAATCCTTTGTGATTCCATTTATAGTTCCTGTCAGGAGCATTCAGAGACAGAATGAGAGGTATGCATCTATTGACTGCAGTAAAAATTTCTTGGAGCGGGGGTCAGCAAACTTCCTGACCAGACAGTCAATATCTTAGACTTTGCAGGCTATACAGTCTCTATGGCAACCATTCAAATCTGCTGTTGTAGCCCCAAACAGCCACAGACAATACGTAAATAAATGAATATTTAAGTCTGTGTCCAGTAAAACTTTATTTACAGAAATAGGCAGTGGACTAGATTTGGCTCTCGGCTGTAGTTTGCCAAACCCTGTTCTAGAGTTTTAATTTGTTTTAAGCTCCCACGGAGCTGTCCACATCCAATTCTGAAACGAGGTAGCAAACCCGTCTACAGCCCCCGTTTCACTGCTTGCAATGTCCCCACCCCTCACACGGCAAGTCAGGGCCACCGAGCAGCATCCCGAGGAGTCGACACCTGCAGGGCCTCCATCTAGTTGATACGAATCTAAGTTTTAAAAATATGCTTCAAATCTGAAATACTGCAATGCTAAGGGACAAAGTCCTCTTTCAAAATTCTGTATGTTCCATTTTGCTGTCCCTAAGAAGGAGGTGGGCAGTGCCCTGTGTGGACCCCTGCTGATCCCCGCTCCTTCCCACAGAAGTCTTGACTGGGGACAAATGTGTTTTCCCCCTAAAGGTCTAAGACCCACACCAGCATATCGCCCCTTCCCCAAATCCAAAAGTCGAACACAGGGCGAAGAGAAACAAGTTATGTAAAATAAATAATCTGCCGTACCTTGAGTGACTGTCTTTTTGTCACATAATTTTCTGAATGAAGTAACTTCTCATATTCACTGAAGAACTGAGAGACAAAAAAACATACATCCGCATTATTTTTTTCAAAGACTGGTAGATAATGTTATAAAGTCAAGTACAACTTCTAACGGCACGCAGGCCAATGTCGCCCAAGCCCGCCTCCTCCCGTCCGCTCCGGCAAGGCCCACGTTCAGCTTAACTCCACCCTCTCCAGTCGGCCAGACTCCACGTGTGCAAAACGCCACTCCCTTCCCTGCACCGTTTTCTCACCATTGAATCAGCTCTCGTTTCTTGGTGTTTTATTAGAAAATTCAAATTCTTTACAGATGAGAACTCAACTAGTCCACAGCACAACCACAAAGAGAAAAGTTGTCTGTTCTTTGAATGCATTAAACAAGGAGAGCGGAGACCAGAAGGGCAGAGAAACTCAGCACCGTGTTAAGTCGGCAGACGCCCCAGAGAGCATGCAGGGCTCGGGCTTGAACTTGAATAATGAAAGGGGTTTATTTAGAAATAGGGGGAGGAAAGATATTCTTGGGGAGTGAAAAGGGAAGGACGCAGCGTGAGTGAAGACCTGGAGGATGCTAAAGGCTACGGGCTGTTTCTTTTGAGCAACAGGTGTTTACTCCGCTTCACAGGGACTGTGATCTTATCAGTTTGTTTCCCTCCATGCTTCGGTTATGGGAAAGCTCAGAGCTACCGTGTCCGGGGCTCAGAGCGCGCATTCTGGTGTGACAATGCCACCTCTGGCCGAATGTAAACTACCTGCAGCTCCTTTCCCCCACCCGCAGCTCTGACTGCACTGCATACATTTGTTAGCTGCCTCGCCTGAGTTTTTCTAAAATCTTACTAACCAACGTCATCCTTTAATAACACATAGGAAAATCTTTTACTGCAAAATTAAGCTGATGCCACCGTCTGTAGGCAAGTTTCTTGGAAACTGGTAAGTATGTATCTTTGGTAGGCTTTAAGTTAAGATGTTGGTATGTTAAAAAAAAAAATTTGTGAAACCATGTGGTGATAAAAATACAGCTGATGCGTATTGAACACTTCCCTGCTTCAGGACTATGTCATGCACTTGACACCCAAATTCTTATTCAATCCCCACAACCACTCAGCAGGTAAGTACTATGAAGAGCCTTCTGTTGAAGGCATAGAAGGTGAAGGAAGGCAGCTGCCCACGGTCTGGGGACACACGGTAGGGCTGAGACTTGAAGCCAGACTCTAGGCAGTTTGGTGCCAAAGCCTGTGCTTCTAAGCACTGTAAAAAGGCACCAATGAAATAACCATGCTGCCATTTTAAACTAACAAACACACAAAAAGAAACACGCCCACATCCAAATACACGCAGGCAGAAATAAAAATAAATGACCAGCAACGTTTCGGCCATTAATGAGGGACCTACTATGTGCTGCATGCTGTGTTCAGATGTTACCGAGTGTGGGAGGGAAAGATGGAGGAAAAGGAACACAGTCAGACATAGGTTTTGTTTTTGTAAGATTTTTGTAAGATTTTTATAAGAATCCTTACTTTTAGTTGAAGAGCAAAGTGAACAATGAAGATTAAGAACACCCAAGATTTGAAAAAATTCAAACCATTAGTGGATGAAAACTTAAGGCAAATCTTGCGGGATAAATAGAAATTTTAAGTGCACTGTTATTATTGTAACTCCCCGAAGAGCACCTATGAGATCTTGGACAACATGTAAGTTATCGACTTGTATGCGGCCTGTCTGCCAGAACCGCCATCTTCAGTAATTCACCGAAATGACCAAACCAAAGGGAAAAAGAGGCACCCGCTATATGTTCTCTAGGCCTTTTAGAGAATGGAAGTTGTTCCTTTGGCCACGTATGTGCGAATCTACAAGAGAGGCGACACTGCAGACGCCAAGGGAATGGGCCCTGTTCAAAAAGGATGCCCACGACGTTAGCGTGACAGAACGGGAAGTGTGTGCGTGTCGCCCGCACGCGCCTGGCACTGCTGTAAGCAAACGAAGGCAAGATTCTTGCCGAGCGGATTAACGCACGCACTGAGCATGTTCGGATTCGCTAAGAGCCCGGACGGCTTCCTGAAACGCATGAAGGAAAATGGCCAGAAACAGAAGGGAGCCAAAGAGAAAGGCACCTGGGTTCGACTGAAGTCCCAGCCTGCTCCACCCAGGAAACCAAAGTGAGAACCCACCCCCTGTGAATTCATGGCATGATGTAGTGAAAAAACAAAAGACCTCTGGGCTGTTAAAAATACTTCTCTCAATTGAGTAGAAGTGCGGTGTCCCCTCCCCCAAAGAAAGATTTAAAGAAACTCTGTGTCCTTAAAAAAATAAATAAATAAAAATAAACTCATATGGAAAAGGAAGTGCTTGTGGGGATCTGGGAGAGCAGGGCTGGCAGGAGTGGAGGAGAACATTTGACACCGTGGCCTGGAGTGGCCTGGAGGTCGCTGTGCCGGTCAAGCGCAGTCGGCTTCTCAGAGCGCTCAGTGTCCGTATCCCGCACAAACCTCTGGGGCGTGGGGGAGGGGAGGCTCTTTTACCACGAGTCTGACAGCGACTCATGCGGAAGAGCCTCACCGCTGGGTCGGCCCAATGTCCTCAGTTCACAAATAAGAGTGGACTTCTGAGTCCCCCAGGTACCGGCCTTGGTGGCAGCAGGGGCGGCACACCCGGGTCCTGCCTCCTCTACACCAGTGCTGGCCCCGCCCCGTCAGCTGCCGCCTCCCCTTCCCATCTGCAGGCGGTACAAATGCGAGCCACTGATAGGAAGGGAGGGTGAGGAGTCAGATAATAATTTTCCTTTTATCTCAACTGTACATTATCACTCAGTACCAAGTGCTTTATTTTCCTCTTCTAAGTACAAAGGGCAGCACATCAGTCAAAAAAGATAAAAGTCTGCTTCGGACCAAAAAAACCCTCATTTCAGTAGAGACATGATTACAGCACCATCTTAAAACATTACATATGCAAAATAAACATTCTGGTACAAAATCTAATTTAAATCTTTCATTTCTGGTAACACAAGTTACAATTTGCTATTTAAAAATAGTATTTCACATACTTACTCTATCATAATGCTGTTCCAAAAATTCTGCACTGAGCAATTTATGTCTTGTAAGTAAATCCTAGAAAAAGAAAAAATATTTTTAAAAAGCTGTTCTACATTCAAATTCTTTCAGAAAAGAGAATCCTAAGACATTTTATCTATTAAAAACTGCTGTTAAAAATTACTGAACTTAAAAACATTTGCGCATAAACTGGATTGAAAACGTTGATTTTTATACAAAAGTAAATAAAATCAATAATTTGAAATTGTGATTTTAATGATTACGATTAGTCACATGTCTACAGGAAAAATTTTAAATCAAACATAGAAGGCAATGGAAATATGTACTCAAAGAAAGGGAACAAAGAACCGAAGTGAAATAAAGCAGTTTTGATGAAATGTCAGACAGAGCACTGCTCCTGCTGGGGAAAGAGGAAATTCCTTTAATTAGAAAAAGTATTGGAGGTGCCATTTTCTTCCTCCTAAATTCGATTACATTCCGTTTCATATCTAATGCAATCTTTAGCAGAAGTAAATGTTATTTAAAAGCCCTGTTGTTTATAAATATTAGCTACTAAGTAAGCAGAATAATGCTGCAGAAATGTAGAATCGAAAATTAGTGTGACCTCGGGTCTAATTCTGCATTACTATGAAATAGAGCTTATGCCTCATTCCATGGATTTCCCTGGAAACAACTCAGGGATCATTCATTCAGAAAATATCTACTATGTGCCAGGTAAAGTTCTCGGTGCTGGGGCTACAAAAAAAGAAAGAGAAAAAAGGATGTGGTCCCTGCCTTCAAGCACCTGGAGTTCACACGGTTCGGGAAAGAGAATGGGAACACGTGACGGCAGGAACGCCAGCCAGTGTTCGCTGAACTAATGGATACCATTCCTTTCGAGCGTGGATGGGAGCGGTTAGTGCCAGTAATCCCCTTTCTCTGCCCGACTCTCCTTGTTGCTCCGCTGTTTGTTTGAGTTTCCCAGGTTACCGCAAGCCGGTGTCCCCGGCAGGGTGTCCCAGGGCCAGGGTGGTGCAAGGAGACGCTCTGAGGAGCGTCCGCAGCCAGAAGGACATAGACGTACTGCGGCTCCAGTCCCTTGTGGGGCCCGTCGGGTCGCAGGAGCTCCTGTGGGGAGCTCTTTGGCGCCTGTTCTGCCACCACCCTTCCCTGAAAGGCCTCATCACACAAGCTTCGCCCTCTCTAGGAACCTACTGCCTTGGACCTCAGCTTCAGCGTCACTTCCTGACTGGTCACCAGCATGGGTACAGCCTGTGACTTTACACCTGTGGAATTATGTGACCAGTGTGTCTCTCGTGGAAGGCCGTAAAGTCTATCAGTACAAGGGTCATGTCCATTTTCACTAATCTTTGAATCCCCAGCACCTACGCAGTGCCCAGCACATAGGAAGAGCTTAATACTTAATAGATAAATGAATGAACCAAGGAAATGAGAGAATACATTTGGGAAAACGTCACATTAAGCAACGTTCAAAGTATGCTTTCAAGAAGGCTTCTAAACCCACCCCAAAGATTTACAGGTGTTTAATCTGCTGGATGGAGAATGTTTTGTATGCCCAGGAAAGACGACCCAACTTTTTCTAAATCTCCCCTGGGGCAAAATCAGAAAACCTGGAGTTTATTCTGAATACCTCAAGTCTGGTAAGAAATGCTCTGAGGCGTCTGACCCCACATGGGGGAGGAGGAGGGGCGGGGGAGGAGAACTGATGCCCTCTCAGTGTATCACGGGGTCAGGTGTGAGGCAGAGGGACACGTTAATGAGCACTGCCCCCTAACACGCGCCTGTTTAAGGTGGCCTCCCCCTTAAACCGGACCCTCAAGGGCCGGGGTGTGTCCGAACCCAGCACCTAAGGAACTGGGCGGCACTCAGAGCTTTGTGCAATGAGCGGAATGAACATACAAAGAAGCGAATTAAGGGATTAATGAGTCAGGACCTCTGCGAAACTGTCTCTTCTACTTTTTTGTGGCTACATCACTCTGGAGGCCGACATGAGGAAGTACAGCAAAAGGAGCCCTGGGCTCACTGCTGTCATAATGTGACCACGGAGAAGGCCACAGGAGGGGGTCCCAGAGACAATGGCTCTCAACACGGGCTCTTGGGAACAGGTAGGTAGGAAGTATTGCTCTGAAAAGCAAAAGGCAGAGGTCCTTTGTTGTAAAGTGGCTTTTACCGCTCCCTCGGAAGGATGCATCTCGAGCAGGAGCGAAAGCTCACAGCAGAGCCTCATGCCAAACTGGAGACATCTACATCTCCCGAACCAGGGAGATTCTACCTTTATCACTGGGTTTAAAGAGACCACGAAACTGCTGCCACTCAGGAATCAAACCGCAACGGCCCTGGGCTGAGCGCGCCCGGGCGGCAGAGGATGAAAGCCCTTTGCTAAGGAGGATCACGCTGGGGCCTGGGGGGAGAGCAAGACGGGAAAGGAGCAACTGCCGAGAGCCAGCGGAGAAAAAGGGCAGCCACTGAGCTGGGGAGGGAGGAGGCGGGGCTCACGCGGTGCTTCTGTCCGCCGAGACACCGAGACGAGGAGCCTCGCAGCAGAGGCCGGGGCCAGAGCTTCGAAAGCAGGGCTGTGGGGATGAAGGGGAACGGCTATGCAGTCAGCACGTGGTCAGCGACCTGCAGGGTTGACAGGGTGCACTGGTCGCAGCCTAGGGGTCTGCTAGGCTGGCCGGCCGGGGCGCGGGGGAGGCCCTCTCATCCCACCTGTTAAAAGTCTAGTGCACCCAAGGCCCTGGTGTAACGTGGAAGAAGCTCGGGGATCATCTCCCACGTCCAGCAGATTAGGCAGCCAACTTTTAGGGTAGGTTGAATTTTAAGAGTCCTAAGAGGTAGGTGTTTGGGCCGCCAACACCATGCGATACAGACAGCCCTGGAAGCCGGGGGAGAGAATCTAGGCCGGGGCTTCCCTCCCCAGAACCTTGGCAAGTCATTGGCCCATTTCCTACTTCGTGCTTGAATATGTCCAAGGACAAGAACCTCGATTCTGTGTGCTTCGCCTTTGGAGCTCTTAAGAGTTAAGTTTTTCCTGTGCTCGGGGCACAAGCCTACGCCCAGGTTACTTCCAGAGACTGTCACAGGAACAGGTTAACCCGCTCCGTAGAGGACCACACTTCAGATACAAGTGCTCCACGGCAGGGCCTAACCGAGTCCGCTCTTCTCCAGGCTAAATACATCCAGTTCCTTTAACCACTCCTTGAATGAAGGTTCTGAGTTCCCCTCACCATCTACTGTCTTCTCAAAGTCATCTATCTGTCTATGTGCCTCTCAAGTGTAGCGCCTGGAACGGAACACATTTACGTGCTGTTACCTGGTAAGCTTACAGTGGGGTGAGACCATCAACAGCTCCTTAGGTCACAGACTGTGTAGTCACATGTGACTTTGGGGCAGCACCATCGGGCTGTTTAATGTGACTGCACGTATTCAGAATTTGGTTTACCCAGAGTGGGCTCTGCCAGTCACACTGCCTGGGTTCAAATTCTGGCTTCCTCACTTAGTGTCTGACTTCACTCAACATTCCTAGGCTTCAGTGTCCTTATCTGCAAAGGAGATCATAACAATACCTCCTTCATAGGGTTGTTTGAGTATGATAAGGAGTTACCTACATTTCAGAAATTACGACCCCTAATTATTACATTAGTATTAACTATTATTATCGTGTCTTATTCCCCCACCCCATATTTATACAGTTAGGCTGGGTCCTCAAGTGGAAGACCTCCGTCATCTGAATTTAATTTCATCCAGTTACATTTTGGCCTCTCTTATCGTTACGAAGCTGTATTTCAGGATCACTGTTATTTGCTACGTTCCCCTTCACGGCTATCACCTGCACATTTGATAGGACGGCCCTGTCACCCATCATCTAACTCACTAATAGTGTCCAACGTGGCTGAGTGGAGATAAAGGCCAGTGAAGACCTGCTGGGAGTTTCTCTCCAGGGTGAAGGCAATCCATTTCCCAGCACCTTATAGATACAGCATTCGATTAGTTGCAAATCACTACACTGAAACTCCATCTCTCATCTTTTTACTGTGTCCATGAAAAGAGGTCTGTACTATCATTCGACATCTAGATATCCTCACTGTCCTAAAGGAATTCCAGTTGTTGTTTACGGCACACGCTGTGTGGGGCACAATAACCTGACATACCAGCATTATAACTATGTTTTAGCGGGTGGAGAGACTGAGGTTAAGTCAACAGCAGAGCTGGAAACTGAACTCAGGCAGCCAGACCCCTGAGCCACTGATCTACGCATCTAAGAGATGAGTACGACCGAACTTACTCTTAGTGAATCCATGCTGGCTGTGGGTACAGTTTCCTTTCCAAAATGCTCAGAAATCATCTCTTTAGAATTACTTTCTAGAACCTTACACACGTATAACATCAAGCTTCGAGCTCCACCTGTCTCTTTGGGGAATCTACCATCTTTTACTCTGGAAAAATTGGAAATATATTTGTTGGCCTTCTGATATCCCTCTCAACCTAATTCCTTAAAAAAAATGAAATCACTAACAAATATCTGGCTCCTGATTTAACTACCTCAGTACTCATGCATCCAAGCTACAGATCTTGGACACATTTGGAGCAGCCAGTTTTAATTCCTTTTAAGACTCAGGCCCTGTCTCAGGGGCTCTAAATCCAGGGTTGTGGATGAGCCGCATCTGTTTCCAGGTTTCTGTGTGCAGAGCACATTTCCTGGGGAAGTCGCTCTGGTCACACCCTCGAGGGACAGCTCGGACCTCGGATCTGTTCTCCTTTTCCCTCACGAACATTCTCTGCGAAGGACAGGCCACCCAGGGGAGGGCCCGTCTTCCTCTGCTCGGTGTCAGCACCTCCGCTGGGAGGTGGAGACCACCCCCCTGGTCTCCCTGGCTGCCTCCCTTGGAGTTTCTTTCGAGAGGGTGGGGAGCAGCTCGGTCTGCCCGATGGGCCTGCGCCACGCTCACTCTGCTGCCTTGGTTTGGGCCTCCGCTAGCTTGTTTCGTGGAGAGCCAGGTCCCCTTTAGTCGGCTCTCCCCTTTCTAGGTAAGCGGTGGCAGCTGATGCGGAATCCACGCCAGCCTCTCGATGCTCTCTCTTCTAGCTCATCCCTCGAATCCTACGTTGTTTTTTGTTTCCCTTCTTCAGGTAAAGAAGACCACCTGGATCCGCCTCATCCTTCCGTCTGTGGCTGCCATGACAGGGCTGCTTTACCCACAGGGAGTCCACCTTTGTGAGCATTTAATTCACAGCAACCCTAACTGAGATGGAATTTGTAGCGAGCCCAATCGAGACTTTGTCAGATACCACGAAACCCATCTCTGGCTGTAGTTAGCACCTCTCTGTCCTCCAATGCTGCTCCTCCCTCCTCTTCCCTCACCCTCCTGCCTCCGGGGTTGCCACTCTCGGGCTCATGGCTTTCTTCCCACACGGGACTAGCCGCTCTTCATGCCACATGGTGCTACTGCACCGCCCTTCATAATGGGTCTGCCGCTTTTGAACGGGGCGTCACTATCTACCCCAATCACAGTCCCATTCCACCAAGTGCGGTGATACCTAGAATATCACATTGACCACTATGTTATCTCAAACTCATTCCATTTTGCTTTGTACATTGACATCTGAGGTCTTATCTAGGGCTTCTGACATCCTCGTCAGTGGTTTCAGAAAAATAAATCCCAGGTGCCTCTCACACTATTATTTTATTCTCAGTCAATGTGAAGCCATAATGGCCAGGTCGCTAGGCTTTCATCCTAATTTAAGGGTGTTCATTCGCTCTGTGCTCATCTCAGGGGCTTTTTATCATCATAAAATTGAACCCTTATAAGAAGAGTGGCCACTTTCCACTGTAAACCACTGTTCGTGGTTTCTCAGTACAGTAGTTGGCAGGTTAGTATACTAAATTCTGATTATATTAAAACAGCAGTTTTAAAGATTCGCTTACAAGGTCAGATGTTTTATATAAAGGAATGTAACATAAAAAGGCTTGCTCTCCTTGTGAAAACCACTAATAAAAGTTACTGCTTTACTGATATACTTCAAACAGCACAGAAGCTTACAGTTCAAAACAGGAATGGGCATGTTGTACTGTGGCATCCTATCGTGTGTGTATTTAATTTATACAAATGTACCACAGGGAGATGAGGTAGACGCGGAGGGAGGCTACAGGACAATCTGAAGAGTGCAGGTGATTCTGCCCACCCCCACCCCACCCCCGTATTTAAAAGCAAGCTCCGGCACATGCATGAGATGGGAGTGGTGAGGTCCACTGTTCCCTTGGGCCTGCCCACAACATGGAAATCTCTGTTCTGAATGTGGTTCTAGTATTTAAAGGCATATACTTTCCAAATTCACATGGCCCTGAACAGAAGCGAACTACTCCACTTGGTGCTTAACCAGAGAAACTGCTGTAGTATGTCCAACGCAGGAGAAAAGCCTGGCTGTGAGATGTACTGTATGTCTATATACTGTACTCGATGGGTAATTTAACAGAAAAGTATACTTTTATCTTTTAGACAGACTCTAGAATCTAACTTTTCCATCCTTTTAAGCTGTGACTCCACTGTGGTTCCCTAAGTCACACACACAGACACATACACAGTCACTCTCTTCCCACTAGAGGGCGGCCCTGCACACATCGAGAAGGTGAGATGGTTTAGGAAAAACAGCACGCCTGTTAATCTGACTTGCAAGTGCACTTACGATTCTATAGTTTCTGTACATGTTACCTTGAATGTGGCAAATGCATCTGAAGCTATGTCAAATGTTGACATTTCGACATATCTGAAGAAATCATAAAACTGTTCTGACCACAAAATGATTTTTGCAAGTGGTTCATGTCTGATGCATTCTCTTAACATTATTCCACAATTTAGAGCTATTTCTGGAGATTCATACCTGCAAGAAAAAAAACACACATGATTGCTTTTTTAAGACTCCAAAGCTGAACAGTTCAAACTCTTAGAACAGGAAGTTTCAGACATAGCCTAACGAGCAGGTCAGAGCAGAACACGTGCCCAGGTGAATGTCCTCCATGGCACATACCATTAGTTGGTGATGACTGCTTTAGCTCAAAGAAAAGTAACAGCCCTGAGAGTGGTCGTGTGACAACAAAGTTCATTACTTAACTAAAAATTCAAAAGAGAAGTATTTCGGGGCATAGCTCCAAACAGGGGTTAGTTTTACATGTGGGGTGCTCTCGATGTTTCAGAAAATTTACCAAAAGCTGAATCAAAAAACAATATGAAACAAAATAGTTTCCAGAATTCATTTCTGAATTAATATTCTGAATAGCTCTACCAAATACAAGCTTTTGAACTTCTTTCAATTCGATACTCAAACTAGTGCTTTCAAGATTCCTGGCCACATGGAAACCCTAGAGCTGAAAACCTGGTCCTGAGTATATCACAGACACGGAGAGGGAGCCCTAAGGACTCCCGCAGTGGGCGCAGGGGACCGACTGCGCGGCAGCCCTCCTCCACACTCATCTTGGCATCTCCTGCTTCTCCTTCCCTGCGATCAGAAAGAAAACCCCGTCTCCTCCAGGCCCAGCTGCCTTTTCCCTCCAATCGCACCGAGCATCGGGCTGGCCGGCCCTTCTGCTCGAGCTCTCTCCCGCTCCACTGCCTTTCGGGCTGTGGGCCTCGTGTTAACGTCTGCTCCAGTCTCCTGCAAGCAAATTCCACTCTCCAACGTCCTCCTGGCGAAGACCTCTCTTGGCCAAATCGATCATGTCTCATAGTACAGACTCTACTGCTTGGTGTCCTGGCACTGCTGATCTCTGCAGCTCTCAAAGAAAAAGCTCGCGCAGTTCTCCTTTTTCCCCCAGTTCTCCTTTCTCTCCCTGACTGTTCCTAGTTTTTGCCCAGCTGAGGTCCTTCCTCAGTTGTCTCTGGCCTGCCGGCGAAGGCCCACACTCCCACCATGGCTCCACCCCACTCAGGTCTACACTTGAACTACAGGTAGGCACTTTCTGTTGTCTTGGGACAATTTCAGTTAAAGGTCCACCATAAACTCCACGTGTCTAAAATCCAACCTCATCTCCCTTCAGAAACAGGCCCCTCTCCTGCGTCCTCATTTCTATAAGGTGACACCAGTGTTTTGTTTCAGACGCCTAGGTCTGAAACGGGTTGGAGGGAACTTTCTGTGATGATGGTTATGTTCTGTATCTGTGCTGTCCATAATGGTGCATACCAGCCACGTGGCTACTGAGCACGTGCATTCTGGCTAATGTGACTAAGGGACTGAATTTTAAATGTTTAAGTAAATTTAAGTAATTACATGCGGGTAGGTAGGTACTCTATTGGACAATACACTTCTGAATCTTACCCTCTTTATCTGCTCCCAACCAATCCTTTTAAAATGCATCTTTGAAATATCTTGGTTTCACTGCTTTTTATCCGTTCCCACTGGCTGCATCAGCTGACAGCCGGGGAGACGAAGCACTCCTAGCCAGCATCTTCAAGCTCTGTCTTCCCAAATCTACCCAGCACATGAGCGTATTAAGGGCATTTCCCCGTCACGAGTTTAAAATGATTTCTTCTTGCTAATCAAAGACAAACTTCTGGGCTTAATGTCTAGGCTTCCCCTCTTCAGACCTATGCCTCTGCTAAGACGCCATCTCCCACTCTGCCAGAAAGCATTCTGATCATCTCGCCATCGCCAATCACGACAGTCATTCCTGCCCTGTACTCTGCAGCTTGTGCAAATCCTAAACCACCTGAAACACCGATCCTGAGTTCCACCTCTTCTACCAAAGATCGCCTCATTGACCAAGCCTACGTCTTATCTCCTGAAAGCCTACAGTCTTAACTGTTACCTAGCAGCATTATCCTCCTGTAGTACACAGGTTCGTCACAAATCCTCACGAAGATCAAAACGACATTGCTCTGTCTCACTGTGGCATGGCAGCCAGACTGCTGACTGGCTCTCAGGTGATTAAAATGTCTGCTCGCAAAATGGTAATCATACAATCCATCTTCGCTAATCTTTAATAAGCAGGAGACTAGAAAGACAAGGGTAAGATAGTCTGGGACAACAAGCTGGGCAAGTTCTGATGGCAGTTTTCATGCTTCTCTCACACGATTAAGCCATAAACCAATGAGTACAAGGCAACAGTTATGCCTACAACCTGCCGGCACGAGGGCAGAGAGCACATTAACATTTAAATTGCCAGAGAAAAAATTACTGCCTCCAGAGGCACTAGTCTGACACTATCAACAAGATTATTTTCAAATGTGAACTAAGTGACAGCGTACCTCTCCCAAATGTCTAACCTCAAAGTATTCATCGCCTGAGCAGATAATCATATTGTATGAGAGCAGTCTAAACCAACTGATCGACCCGCAAAGCACAAACATCTTGAAAGGAATTTCACAGGGCTCCTTGAAGAAATGGCTTTTTCCAGATCTGAGGCAGGAACCTGCACAGGACGAGCGCCGGACACCTTGTGCCAGAAAAGCACGGAAGCCATCAAAGGCTAATGGGCTCTGCCTGAAAGGACACAGGGGAGGAACTCCCACTGGCCCAAGATGGGGCAGTCTGGACATAAAAATATGGACGTGATGACTGCAATGGATTATAACACATTAAACATATTTTTTAAAAGGCCAAAAACTTGAGTTCATAATGACCTGATGACCCATTTAAAAGAACAGAGGATAAAGATACATGTTGAATGAAACCAAAGAGATGCAAATGCAAAATGTGCTTTTCCTGCAAAACAAATAACTCAGTTGCTTCAACAAATAAATGATATATCTGGGACGAACTATTATAGATTAAAAGAAAGTTAAGAATTATAGCAACCAAATTTCATTTGTGGGCTTTTCTTGGAACCTGATTTAAATGAACTGAACGATAACCCTTTTTTGGGGTGTGTGTGAAAATCAAGGAAATCTGAGCCTTGAGCATTAGCTAATGTTAGGTTTGTAAATGATATTGTGACTGTTTTAAAAAAAGTCCTCAGACGTGTGATCTGCTTACGAGGGATGCACACGACTGAAGTCACGTGCGAGGAAGAAAGCGGGAGGCAGGGAGAGGTGACTAAGGACAGCCCTAGGCTAATGACTGCCGCAGCCGCCCGATGGGCCGGAACGGGCGTGTCGCAGTATTCCCTCCAGTTTTAGGTGCATTTTCCACACTAAGGCTAAAAAGGGTAGGGGAGATGGGTTCTGTTGGATCCCAATGCCAGTTGCATTCTTCATGCTTATCTCCTTTCTGGCCGAAGTTTCTGCTCTGGCCAGCTCAGATGGAGCCTTAAACTTTTCCTTGAAGTGCATTTTAAAATTCTTATCTTGCATAATGTTTAACAATGTGCCTATCATACCTGGCTACTCTAGAGTGAAAATGTAGGCAGAGATAACTTTTGGATTTTAATAATGACTGCTTTTTCTATGGAAAAGGAAATACTGGTTTTAAAAATACACAAAGGCATCTGGAAGCTGATCTCAGAACACCAAAAATTCAGACTGCTCACTACATGTTTATATACAAAACACTGGATTGATACGACAAGAAAATTAGATGCCAAAAGTTCTATATGGCAACATCTGAAGAAGCAACATAGTTAGAAATAGAAAAAAGGAAATAGAATGCTGGCATCCAACACATGTACTGACTCATGCTTTGTCTAAGCAAGTTAGAACTTGGGAGAAGTGTTAAACCACAGAGATATGAATCAGAGTGAGGCAAGCTGTAAAGCTAGGGGAGGAGAGCGAGCTGATTCACACCAACTGCCATGCCAATAAACCGCCTGCCCACCAATTTGATAACCACCAATGCTGGGACAAACAGATGCCCACTATACCCAGAGCTGGCAAACAACTCTGGTGTGCATCAACAGGAGGTGGCCTTGTATTGGGGGGGCTCAGTGATGAAGAAGAGGATATGTTTTGTTTTGAAGTTAAAATTTTTAGTTTTTTTTTTTTTTAACTCCCACTGGCCCAAGATGGGGCAGTCTGGACATAAAAATATGGACGTGATGACTGCAATGGATTATAACACATTAAACATATTTTTTAAAAGGCCAAAAACTTGAGTTCATAATGACCTGATGACCCATTTAAAAGAACAGAGGATAAAGATACATGTTGAATGAAACCAAAGAGATGCAAATGCAAAATGTGCTTTTCCTGCAAAACAAATAACTCAGTTGCTTCAACAAATAAATGATATATCTGGGACGAACTATTATAGATTAAAAGAAAGTTAAGAATTATAGCAACCAAATTTCATTTGTGGGCTTTTCTTGGAACCTGATTTAAATGAACTGAACGATAACCCTTTTTTGGGGTGTGTGTGAAAATCAAGGAAATCTGAGCCTTGAGCATTAGCTAATGTTAGGTTTGTAAATGATATTGTGACTGTTTTAAAAAAAGTCCTCAGACGTGTGATCTGCTTACGAGGGATGCACACGACTGAAGTCACGTGCGAGGAAGAAAGCGGGAGGCAGGGAGAGATGACTAAGGACAGCACTAGGCTAATGACTGCCGCAGCCGCCCGATGGACCGGAACGGGCGTGTCGCAGTATTCCCTCCAGTTTTAGGTGCATTTTCCACACTAAGGCTAAAAAGGGTAGGGGAGATGGGTTCTGTTGGATCCCAATGCCAGTTGCATTCTTCATGCTTCTCTCCTTTCTGGCCGAAGTTTCTGCTCTGGCCAGCTCAGATGGAGCCTTAAACTTTTCCTTGAAGTGCATTTTAAAATTCTTATCTTGCATAATGTTTAACAATGTGCCTATCATACCTGGCTACTCTAGAGTGAAAATGTAGGCAGAGATAACTTTTGGATTTTAATAATGACTGCTTTTTCTATGGAAAAGGAAATACTGGTTTTAAAAATACACAAAGGCATCTGGAAGCTGATCTCAGAACACCAAAAATTCAGACTGCTCACTACATGTTTATATACAAAACACTGGATTGATACGACAAGAAAATTAGATGCCAAAAGTTCTATATGGCAACATCTGAAGAAGCAACATAGTTAGAAATAGAAAAAAGGAAATAGAATGCTGGCATCCAACACATGTACTGACTCATGCTTTGTCTAAGCAAGTTAGAACTTGGGAGAAGTGTTAAACCACAGAGATATGAATCAGAGTGAGGCAAGCTGTAAAGCTAGGGGAGGAGAGCGAGCTGATTCACACCAACTGCCATGCCAATAAACCGCCTGCCCACCAATTTGATAACCACCAATGCTGGGACAAACAGATGCCCACTATACCCAGAGCTGGCAAACAACTCTGGTGTGCATCAACAGGAGGTGGCCTTGTATTGGGGGGGCTCAGTGATGAAGAAGAGGATATGTTTTGTTTTGAAGTTAAAATTTTTAGTTTTTTTTTTTTTTTTTAAACTGACAAACTACCCAAGCATAATGCCTTCTTAGTCCAGTAGTAATTCTAGGAGGATGCACTACGAATTATCATATTAAGTGGGTTACGAGGGGACACACATAGGGAAAAAGCAAAGGGTAATACTTCATAAACATGTTCTTTGTTGACTGACCAAAGTTAAGCTGCACAGCATTCAAGCTCTATTTACTAGGCAGCTTTTATTGCCTAACTGTGTGCGTGTCTATCCAAAGATGTCTTTTAATATGTGACTTAACTGATACTTCATACAATTAAACTTTTTAAATCTTAGAGAACAGAAATAAGACCACAGAAGACTTTTTTTCCTCCAGTCACGTATAATGAGAATTTAAAGGCTCATGATACACCTACTTTTAAACTTCCACGGGCATTTTCAAATTCGATTTAGCTCACAGGCTGAATTTTAAGGATGGAAACGTGTTCAAGATTTACCAAAAAATGAGCTGATTGAACCATACAGAAAACGTTTTCCCACATTCACCATCTTGTTTTGGCCCAAGACCATCTTTCCTCTTCATTTTTCAACTGAGAATATAAATTTTAGTACATTGTACATACCCTTTCAATAACATGAACAAAATATTCTGTTGGGTGCAGATGTATTCAACAGTAGGAGTTCTTGTACCAATTTGTCTTCTGAGAATATTGTTGAAAATTTGAGCCACATCTTTTTTGCCCTATTAGGAATACAATCATTAAAATATTTACTTGACTAAACATCAAAATGCCCATCCACCCTCCCAAATAAACTTTAATCAAGGCATTGCATATTTATAATTATGACTGAATATCTGGCTTTAAAACATTTACAGACACTAAATTTTCTTACTTTATTTCTTTATAATTTTAAATTCTAAGTTTTAACAGTATACTATTTTTAACCTGAGCAATGTGTTGAAATCTTACCACATATAATTTCAACCATTCCTATCAGAACCATGCTGATTCAGGTATGAAAAAAAAAAAAACTCCAGGTACATGCTTACAATGTTTAGGGATCTGCTTCCCACTCAAATAGAACAGGCAGCCTTAAACAGGATGCTCATGCTGTAAACACTACGCTTTCCTTTTATGGTGATGGAAGGAGAAACTCTATCTGCTAATATAACAAAAATGAAAGAAATCTGTAAAAAGCTGAGCTTTAATGGTAAGTAGACACTCCATATCCATTAAACTAGGTCTACTTAGAAAAGACTATATAGAGAGCAATAATGAAGGCGCTAAGTATCAAGTGATGTATCAGGTCAGAGGTCAGAATCACACCACTGAACGTGACAAAAAACTAGCTAGACATTACCACTACATAGGGAATCTTATCATCGGAAGGTGCATAAGAAATTAATGAAGGCAGAACTGGACCCCAAGAGATGCTTCAGAATAGCCACCTGTCGGAGGCTGAGGAGCCTGCAGGAGACTGAAACGACAGCTCTCCAGCGCCAGCAAGCATCCCGGGCCGGGCTAGGCCGGCTGCTGTCCGAGCCATCTCCTAGAACCAGTCTCAGAGCACACGTGACTTTTAAGTTTGTGTCTCTGAAGTCCCAAATGAATATTAAATTCAGTGTCCAAGTTGGGGAATGGGGTGGGTAGACAAAGGAGGAGGAACTGAGTGTTCCAGTGCATTCCCAACTTTGCAGAGAAAATAAAAATTGTTGTTGTTGAAATGTGAAACGCTATTAAAAATACATGAAATCAGCTGGATAAATGAAAATATCACAGTTCAACTAGTTCTACAGGATAGAAATAAATTTTTATTCTCTTTTATTATCAATATTATATTTGAGTAACTTATGAACCATACCCTCCTGTTTCTCTCCAAAACTGAATCTGGCTATATGTCTGCCAATTTCCCCACTGTTTTCAAAAAGCATCTGCATAGACATCCAATCACTCAGGATGACAAACACTGGGGCTTAAAACAAAGCGCATCCATGATAAAGAATCAAGAACCATGACCAGGCCACAGCCCTTCATTACTACACACACACGTACACACATGCTTGTCAGACGAGTTTATTCAAACTGGTATCAATGTACACACACGCGCACACACACGTGCACACACACGTGTATACACACACGTGTACACACACACACACGTGTATACACACACACACACATATGCTTGTCAGACGAGTTTATTCAAACTGGTATCAAGGACCATTATTTTCACTGTTAAATTCATAAATACCTAACATGGCACGATCCGGCTATATAAGCTTGGGCAACAGTCTTGAATACCTACCAGAGCCAGGCTGAGATGCAAACGGGCAAAGCAGGCCTGAGACAGACATGCAAGCTGCTCCGTCTGCAGCGTGCCCAGTGTGGGTCTCCTGCGTCAAAAGGAGACTGAGGGGCCCTGCTCCGGCTGAGGGGCCCTGTAGCACTGTAGGCCTACTACTGCCAGCCTCAGATTTTCGAGAGAAGCCAGAAATTCAAAATTGTGTATAAAATCTTCTGCTATTTAAATGTTATCCTAATTTAAACATTTAAAAGCTATGCCAAGCAAAACATGTATGATCTCTCATGCAATGAATTCTTAGCAGGTAAAAACCCCCAAAAAACATAACTGGATATTCTCTAAGATCTCATCTACCTTTAACATTCTAACACTCTACGATCTTCTTTAGACTGTTTATGCCCTGATAGCCAAGGAGTAGTGAATTATGTAAAACAACAACTATTAAATACAACCTGAATGAAAGGGCATAAGGAATTCCTAAAAAAATTCACAGGCGACGTGGTGAGAACAGGGGAGAAAACCTGGCTTGAGCCTCAGACACCCTCGGGCTCTTGTCCGGGCTCTAAGTAGGCAGGTGGCCTGGGCGTGCCTCTAGGTCACTCACTCAGAGCCAAGAGCGTGACAGGACTCGAGATGTTTCAAAGGAGAGAACGCAGGGAGGAGGACTGTGACTAGGGTACCGTTTGTGGAAAAGAAGGACTTCATTTCTTACCTCAAAGTCGATGAGCTGCAAGTCGGCCACCAGGGTGCCCAGGAGCCCACTGTTATACAGCTCCTGGGCGAGCTGGGCCACCGCTTCTGTCTGCGGCTCCTTTTCGTTCGTGCCGTACAGGATTTCTTTCATGGCAACCAGATTTTTGGAAACCTCTTCTGTAGCCTGATTCGGGGAGGGAGGAGAAAAACGACTCACTTTAACAAGCACATACGACACAGCTGCGTTTGTTAAATACCTGCTCTGTGTATTATGTCCCCGCAGAGCCTTGTACGAGACACAGGTGGCAAGGCTGTCCCCGCCCCCAGGCGTGTGTGAACGCACGTGTGCACAGACACACGTGCCCAGCAGGGAAGACCAGCAGACTCATGACACGCACACCTGGGTACTGAAAACGGTGTTACAGAAGCCGTGGGGAGAAGAGGTTCAATTCCGTGTCCACTGGGAGGGAGATAACACGGAGAGGCGCCTGACCGACGAGCAGGGTCCAGGGCAAAGGAGCTGGAGGGGAAGGAGACGCACGCGCCAGGGACGGGCGGAGAAGCGCAGGGTCTGTCTGAGAAGAGGCGTGGCGGGGACGAGAGGGGGACGGCGGCAAGCGACGCGAAAAGGCTTTGAAGGCAAAGGGAAAATGTTAGCGATAAATAAAATGTATGTCACTAATGAGCTTCCACTTATGGCCAAGATGGAGGAACAGGCCGGATTTATCTTTCCCCATAAAAAAGACTAAAACATAGGAGAAAACATACGCAACAATGAATTCTAAACACTGAACCTCGGGCAGCAAAGGACAGTGGCCCCTGAGAGAAAGGGAACGAATAAGGCGAACCTCCCAACTGCCCTAGCTTACTATCTGGAGAGAATTTCCAGGCCATGGCATAGGGAGGCGAAGCCAGGCAGAACAGGTGGTCCCCATGAGTTCAAGCTGAGTTGAGTGGACAGGGCTACGCTGAGGACAGCATGAGACACCTGTAAAGACCCGCTGGCTTCTTCGGCTGAGTACTGATGGGCACGTGCATGAGGGGAGAGCGCCCGAGGCCACGGAGCTCACACGGGCTGGAAATAGTTCTTGTTCCCATCAACCTGAGGAAAACCTCATGTTCACAAGGCACGAAGCAGAGTACGCAAGGGTTTCGTCTCAGTTATACAAAATTAGCCCTAGACTAAACTTGGCTCTGGTTCCACCCAACAGAGCTCAAAAGCAAGCCTGAACAGGATCAAAACTAGAAAACACACTAATCACGAGGAAAAAACCAATCAACAGAAACATCCCTGCAAGTGACACAGATAGTAGAACTAATAAACAAGGACATGTTCAGGAAAAAGGTGAACATGTTAAGATGTGGAAGACATGAAAATAAAGACCCAAATCAAATACAGAAATAAAACTACAATGTCTGAAATAAAAATCACACTGGATAGAATTAACAGCAGATGAGACACTGCAGAAGAATTGTTAGTAAAAAGGGAGCACATCGGTGAGTTACAGGATGACAGTAAGCAGTCTAAGACACGTGTAACTGCGGTCCCCAAGGAGGGAAAAGGCTAGACAAAGTATACGAAGATGTAATGGCTGAAAAATTATGAAATTTGATGAAAACTATAATCCCATGGAGCCAAGAAGGTAAAAAAAAATCCCCAGCACAAGAAAACAGGAAGAAAAGTACACCAAGACAGGGAATAATCAAATTGCTTTTATTCAGTAAAGACAAGATTTTAAAAGTAACCAGAGGGAAAAAACATTACAGACAGAAAAGAAAAATCAAAGAATGACAACAGACTTCTTGACAGAAATGAAGCAAGTCAAACGATAGTGGAGAAACATCGTTAAAGTTCTGGAAAAAAAATGAAACTGTCCTCTTAGAATTCTATATCTAGTGAAAGCATTGCTCAAAAATGAAGCTGAACGAAGAGCTGCCGAGACGAAAAGGCTGCAAGACTTTGTCTCCAGCGGACCTGCACTCCAGGAAATGTTTAAGGAAGTCCTACAGGCAGAAGGAAAATGATTCAAGAGGAAAATCTGCATATACACAAAGAAATGAAGAGCACTGGAGATAGTAATGTAGGTAAATATAAAATATTTTCCCATTGTTTAAAAGATAATTGGCTGTTTAAAGCATAAATAACTATGTATTCTGGGGTCACACCACATGTAGACAGAAATATGTGACAAGAGTTCAATGGTGGGTGACTGAGTACAGTGCTGTAAGGTTCTTACACATGAAGCAGAATAGTATTTCTTGAAGACAGACTGCAAAAAGTTAAAGTTATATACTTTAAGTCCTAAAGAACCACTAAAAAAGCAAAGTAGTTAAAGCTTGTAAACCAGTGAAAGAGCCTCAAGTAGAGAGAGAATTAAAGATATGTGAAAACCATAAAGGCTACAAAAAGCTGCTACACCCGTAGTTATGAACAAATATGCTTCGAGGAGATGACCGAGCAGACTCGCAGGACGTAAGCGTTTACTAGCACCTAAAGAAGCATTCAGTCACATGGTACTCCCTTCTAAAACCTTCTGCCCTCCTTACCAAATGATCACATTGCTTCACCTTAAATATTTCCTGTGTCTGACAATGCAAGGTTGCAGGTTTCAGAGTCAGGTGGCTGTTAGAACCTTCATGACAAGGCAAAAGTTGCCTTCCCACAGCACCTGCTGGTCCTGGGGCTGCATTGCAGAGCAGGCGGCGCCCCAACTCCTCCTCCTCGTGAGGCTCCTCTCTGAAGGGAGCATGTCTGTCTTCCCGAAACAGCCTCCAGAAAACCTCTCGGCTTCCTTAACTATGACAGGGCTAAAGTTCCAACCCCATCCAAAAAAGAATGATGCAGAAGAGACTGCCACTTCCCTACAAATGTCGCAAGTGCTAATGTCGTCCAAGGCTACCTTCGAGAAATTCTGCAATTATACCCTGTCATTCATCCAAAGCCAGATCTTTGAATGACGCACCAATGAAAGCTTGAACTCTTCTCAGTACTTAATTTAATCTCACTAACAGCCCATCATCCGACAGCGCGGAGGTATTTATGAATTGCCGGCTACCGCTCTCCTGTCGGTATCATCTAAAATCTGACAGGTATGTTTCCCATGACCTCGCTCATTAGCCAGAATGTTGAAAAGGAAATAACCATGAATGAAGCACTATGGTTCTGCCTTTGAATCATGCCGCCCTGTTCAATGATGATCTTCTTACTAATAATCTTTGGGCATGGCTGCTCAACCGCTTACATACACACCTATATCCAAATCATGTACACATGGCTTTTTGTTAGATACTTGGATAAAATAAGTATTTCTTCTACATTTCCTGAATATAAGCAAATGAAATAATGTTAATTTGGTATGACTTCTTTACTAAGCCTATGCTGATTTCTACTACTACTTTCTTTTCCAAGTGCTTATAAATCGTCTTTCTAATAATCCCATCATGAAATCTTATTCAGCGCCAATGTTAAACGGAATCTTTACCTTGTCTGTCTGTTGTTACTACCCTATTCTGTCAATGCTTCAGCTGTCTGATGCAGTTTGTCATCCTGTACTCAAATTTTAAGTACCCAAGATTATACTTTTTCTGGGCCAGGAGATAAAATCATTTATCAACAGTAAATGTTCTCTTAAAATCTAGTTACATGTGTTGCTTTCTCAATTTTATTTTATTAATCTTCATTCTTAAGATGATTCTCTTTGCCAGGGAAGAATGTGACATTCAGTAGGTTTAAGTGTATTATCTATCTGTTGATCTTTATACTGGCGACCCTGTGGTAGCAGGGCCTCGGCCCCCTTCGCTTCTCTGGCTAGAGTTTGAGGCTCTTAGCGATCTTTCATATGCCTCAGTTTATACTCTCATCACAGTATGATTTTAATCTCAAATCAGGCCATACTCTATGCTCATTTCTGATAGCAGAGTGGTGAGTAAGAAGGGGTGGTGATGGATGGTGACAACTAAAGGGTTTGGGGTTTCTTTTTGAGGTTTTGAAATGTCCTAAAATTGACTATGGTTATGGTTGCACATTAGCTGTGTATAAACTAAAAATTACTGATTTACACGCTTTAAATGAGTGGGCTATGTATGAGTTATGTCTCGATAATGCTGTTTTTAAAACAGGGAGGAGAGAAGCAAGGAAATAGAAAGCTACTTATGGTCCTTAGGAGATGAAAGGCAGCCTGGATTCACACGTAACACCCTTTTCTTTTCAGAAGATGACACTGCCATCTACATTACGGGGGACGGTGAGGAGGAGACACCAGCAAATTCCCAGCCAGCTCACCATTGTGCTCACCTAGCCATGCGGATCCTCCCTGCGTCCAGGCTCCACTCATCCCCTGCCTTCTCAGGGACTCGCCCTGCCTGTTATCTCATCTCCTAATATCGTCCATGCCCCTCTCACCTGATTTTCCCCCACATCAGTTTTAAATATGATCGAGGCTCCCATTACCAAAATGAAGTAAACTCTCCCTGGACTCCGTGCCCCTCCGAGCACTGCCCACTATCATTAACCTCTCAAGACATCCACCTGGGCCTGCTACAGCCCACATCTCTTTCCTATTCACTCTTCGGCTCAACCCCGTGTGGCTTCTACACCTAGTGCTTCACAGCTGTCAGCCAGTCTCCAACGACCTGCCCGCCATGAAACAGCTGTCAGTCTCCGAGCTCTTGGCAGCGTCTGCCGTTGTTGATCACACCCTTCTTCTAAAACTGCTCCTCCTTTGTCCTCTGTGACTCACCACCATCCTAATTTTTTCCTTCCTGTCTCCCTGGTCACTCCTCCTATATCCTTTCTGGCTCATCTTCCTTGATGAGGCCATTTAAATATTGGGAATTCCAGGGTACAAGGCCCTCTTCTCATTCTATTATCTCTCCCCAAGTGACTCACGCACGCCCACAGCTTTAACTACCACCTAGACGCAGATACCACACAGATCCCTCTCTCTGACCCACTTCTCTTACTAATACATTCAGCAGGCAACTGAAATGTCCCCACTCAGATGTCTCGAGGCACCTCGAACCTAACATCGAAAACAGAACTCGAGACCGTGTTCCGACGCCTGGTATTCTTCGCCTGTTGCCTAGTTCCGGGAGCGACACCACGAGAGCGACACCACGACTGACGCTTGCATACACATCATCTACTAAGTGGCCTGCTGACCGTTTCCTTGAATCCCCTACCAC